CTTTTGACATGCAAGTGTTGCTCTGCTTATCTAGTTCACTTCCCAAGAGTTATGTTGTGGCAGGAGTTCCATTAATTAGTTGAGTGATCTTGGACAAGTTATTGAACATCTTTATGTCTTAGTTTTTTGATCTACAAAATGGGGATACTAGTAATTAGCTCATAGAAAGTGAGGATCAAAATAAATAATTCCTGAAACATTTACTGCAGCGTCTGTAAATCGAGTAAGCACTCAATAAATACTAATTACCTCTACTACTGCCACCTTCAAGTTTGCCAAGATACCTCTCTTAGTGACTTTGAAAGTGATTTAGTCCATACCATGGTATTTTATATTTATTTTAAATTTATTAGAGGCGAATGAAAAGATTTACATATAAATCAAAAACTTTCCATTCTTAATTTTTGTTGTGTCTGCTTTGTTCAATTATCAGTGCTGAGACTAAAATAAGCAATAATATTCTAAAAAGCCTATTCTACAAAATAGATATTTGGCCTTTTTCTCCCTGTAAGGTCAGTCTGCTTTTATTTTGTTGATCCATTATGTGCCTCTTTCACATTTCAGAAGGACTCTTTGTCAGTTCTTGGGGCTGGGATGGGGTGTGTTCTGGTAACACTCTTCACTGAGGTCTGGAGCACCCATATCTTTCTATTTTAAGATAACTTCCTTGGACTGTATTCTCAGAGATTGAATTTTTGGAGCAAATAATATGAACTTTTAAGACTCTTGTTATATAGTAGAGATTACACCTGCAAGGGAAGTACCGAATTTTATTCCTACAGAGTAATACATGGGAATCTATTTATTATTATTACTACCACTGCTACCTGTGGTTGGAAGTTAGTGCTCAGAAGATAAATATGCATTTCAATAAATGCATATTTATTGAATGAATTAGTAAGTAGATGAATGAGTGAGGATACTGTCAATTTCATGGTACTTTTCTTCAGAATGCTTTCATTGAACTTTTTTCCACATTTTTAATCTTGTATTGTGGCCTTCCTATATTTGCCATTTAACCAGTAGTCCTCTGGTCCTGTAATTCCTTGAACCATAACCATGTTTTCCACGTTTTATGTGTTTGCTTAAAACTACTTAGAATTAACTTTCTATTGTTGCTGTAACAAGTTATCAGAAATTTAGCCACTTAACACAAATTTGTTGTCCTATAGTTCTGGAGGTTATGATCTCACTGGGCTACAACCCAGGTGTGGGTCAGGCTGTGTTCCTTCCAGAGGCTCCGGGGACAGTTATTTCCTGTGTTTTCCAGCTTCTGAAGGCCACCTGCACTCCTTAGCTTGTGTTCCCTTGCTCCATTGGCAAAGCCAACAGCAGAGCATCTTCAAGTGCCTCCCTTAGTCTCACTCCTGCTTCTTTTGTCATATCTCTTTCTCTGACACCCCCTTTCCTTTATAAGCACCCCTGTGATTACTTTGGGGCCCCCAGAATAATCCAGGATAAATCCCTACTTTTCAAGATCTTCAGCTTATTCACAGTCCAAAAGTCCTGTTTGTCATTTAAGGTAACATTCACAGGTCCTGGGGTTAGGATGTGGACATATTTGGGGTGGGGGCATTGTTCTGCCTGCCACATACTTTATTTTTGCTTTTGTTCATCTCTGTTTTGAAATTTAATTCTTTAAGGTATTTCTCAAAAGCTACCTCCTAAAAGAAACATCTAATGGTTCCCTTAGTTGCCTCTCTGCTCCTGGTGAATATTGTCTTAGATAATTTCTGTGTTCTTTTTTATGAGTCTAAATTACTTATATACATGTGTGCCCGTCCCACTGAATCTATATCTTGTTGAAGGCAGGGCCTGTTTAGTTCATGTCCTGAACTACTACCTTACCTTAAGTTTTTGCCTTGAAGTTGTTATGTTAAAATAATATTTATTAAATTTCTCTTAAACAATTATTGGTTTAAAAAAGGGAGCTTAATATTTTTAGAAATCTGTTTTTAGGAAGAAAATGCATTGCAGCTTACATATTTCAAATCATGATGTCCTGTTGACAGTTACTTGAATTAATTTGTAAGATACTGCCACCCTTTACTGATTTTTTAACACATGATTGGTGCAGAGTGGTGGGGGAAGGGACAAGACATTGGTAGGTGGGGTGCGTGAGCCATGGGTGTCTGTATTCTTGTTGAACATATCTGATGGGATGTACCCTGGAACTGGTGTTGAGAGTCAAATAAATAAAATATTCCTTTCTTTTTTTTTAATAATTAGTGGTAAATCCACTTAAAATGTGGACCAAAACTTCATAGTAAATGGGGGGGAGAGGTTTGAATGGGGTGTTATCTTGAAAAGTAATGCTAAAGTTGTAAAAATTTATTTTATAACATTTTTAAATAATGAAGAACTAAAGAAATGCTTTATTTCACAAGTATATAAATGTGTAATTATTCACATCACAGAGTTAGCTTGCTTTCAAGTTGGTATAATATGACCTGACTCCAGTATGATCTTCTGAGAAGTTAGTATAAGTTGTTGTAAAAACCTCTTTTGTAGTATCTTCTGTGTCTTTTAAAGTCGACACAGAACCTGCCTCTTCCTGCCTCCTCACCAATCCAGTTTCCTGAGGAAAGAGTGGCATTGTTTGATGGGCTGTTTGATATTCAGAAAGGAGTGGACTTGGCACTGTTGGAATCTGGACAGTATGGGAAAATACTTTTAGGTTCAAAATAGATTGTAAGATGTATAACTTTTTATGGGCACAATTGATAGGAAGACAGGAAAATTTCTGTGATAAAATTTTGGAAGTGCAGTCTGTGAGCAGCATTTTCCTCTGATTTTCCCAATTCACTGAATTCCTAGCAATCACAAAATGAGACTAGAACTGCAGGTTGATTGCAGGCCTGTCTTCAGGTTAAGCGCCCAGATGTCTGTAAGCTGGGACAGTTGGATGCTTATCGCCTCTGGGTTATGGCAGGTGCAGACAGTGAGACTGGTTACTCCCATCTCCACCCTATGAACACCTCGTTGCTTCATGATTAGTTGACTTTTCTGCTTTTCCCACTACATTGTGAACTTTTGGGGAACAGGGACCACATCTTTTAAACTTTTGTTTCCCAGCACATACCTTCTCATGGGTACTTCGCACGTGCTCTGGAAGTGAATTGACTCCTAGGATATGACTCCAAAACAGTGGTCATATCTGGATGTGTTAAAGAGAAGTCTTTCCCTTTATGTGTTCTTTTCGATACATCTCTAGGTCAAGCAGAGCCTATCACTTTAATTGGGTAAGTCAGCTGTGTATCCTTTTGTGGCATATCTTCATCTGATTTTTACGATGCAGAGAATAGTAAAAAATTGTTTAAATGTGGATACTACACACATTACTTACTAGATTCACTTTTTAAAAACTGTTCGCAGTATTTTAGGGCAACTTTCCTTCTCTTCAGTATTCTCAATGTAAGCGTGTGGTGCTTCATCTGACTGACTTATATTTTTACTTTTCTCTGGATTAGATTGAATCCAGGTGGGAATTCCTCCCTGTTCGCTTTCTTTTTAAAATGTTATGTTCAGCTTTTGTATATTTTAATTGAATTTTTCTCTTATTTTAAATCAAGAGACCCAGAGGTCCTTTTGAAATATCCGCCTCAGGTAACTTAACATTTCTTTGCTTTTGTTTCAAGTCAAGATGTTTTTAATGAAATTTAGGGTAGGATGAGTAAAAATCTTGGAATAAACTGACTTTTATTATCTGAATTGTTCACTTATTGTTTACTAGTGTCTAAAAGTTGATCAGGGATTCTTATTTTGAGATTCTTGGACGTTTTCCCAGAGTTCACTGGGAACATTACATTGCTAAATGTGTGTGTGTGTGTGTGTGTGTGTGTGTGTGTGAGAATACACACATGCATATACATGGTTGGCAAAAGCAGGTTTACAGTTTTGAGTAGGTGAAATATAGTTTATTCTTGTATTATTATTTATCCTTGTGTTAGTATTTTCCATACAAACAACTGTAAGCCTGCTTTTGCCCACCCCTGTGTACCCTTCTAGGGAATGTGCTTATAGCTATCACAATCTCCATTGAGTGCATGGATTCTAAAATGCTAAGAATATCTCATAGCACATAAGTGCTAACACTGACTGTCTTGTTCTTTGGCATTGTGTTCACACAGTTGGGCAAATATTAAAGCTTGCAGTTGATGTTGCATTGGTGGGCGTGGGGCCTCCAAGAGGGAAGGCCAGATTCCATGGAAGGATGATCCCCTGCAGACTTACCTCCTCTTGTCTGTCTTCCCACTAATTCATGTCACTTGGGTCCCTGAGGCTTATATTGGACTCCTCTCATCCTCAGTCTGTGGTGCCCATTGATAGGCCATGGCCGCTACAGCTGATAGTTCTGGTGGCCATGCCACGCCCTACATAGACCTAGGCTGCTGTCCTGTTAACTGCGTCTGCTTATAACTTTTGTTTCATTTGGATATTTTTGACTGTCATTTTTCATATATGTTGTTTCTGATGCAGTGGATCTTTGATTAGCAGTCCTGCCCGCTACTCCCCCCCCCTTTGTTTTCTTCCACTTCCTCATTGGACTGGGTGATTTGATAACCTGGCTAGTTCGGATAATTGAGTGAAACTGTGAGTGAGGGCCTGAGGGGATCAACTGTGGAGCGAAGTGCTTGGGCTTGGTAACAGCTGTTCTGGATATTCGGTGGTCTGTTTCCCTTCCTGGCTGCTTTTGAAATTGAGTTCTGGAGAATTCATGGGCTAGTTTATCATCCCATCTAAGTGAAGGCACGTAAAATTCTCATTCTCTTGGAATTGTCACAGATTCACCTGTTCTAAGTGTATGCTTCCCTTCCTTATGACTCAAGTTTTACTTTTTTAATTTCAGTTACAAAAGATCTGGGAACACTTTCTAAAATGACTGATAAAATACTACGAAAAAGTGTTCAAGCTTTAGGTACTGCTTTGCTTGCTTTTCCTGACTCTCATTGGGCGAAGCTCATTTGATCTGGCTGGTGCCCATTTTTCTTGGTCATCAGGTCGCCCCCAATGATGAAGCTGTGGTGACGCTATTGTGCGAGTGGGCTGTGAGCTGTAAACGGTCCGGCAAGCACAGGGCGATGGCGGTGGCGAAACTCTTGGAGAAGCGGCAAGCGGAAATCGAGGCCGAGGTAGGTTGCTTCCTGTCTGCTTGTTGAATGCCATCACTTAAAAATAATGTTTTGGGAAGGATTCTTTTTTCTTATCTTTATTATACTATTTTTTTTTCTTTTAAAGGAAAAAGGGAGAATATACAAATTCCTGTAAGGACTTCATAGCAGGCTCCCTCTAATGAGCCAATAGTTTATATCCTGAACTAACTTAATTATCTTTTAAAATAAAACTTTAATACCTAAGTAAGAGCAAAGAAACTTCCCTTTGTGAGGGTAAGATATATACATACACACCTGTATATGTCTTGTATTATGTATGTTTGTGTTTGCATTTTTATGTTTTGAATTTTAAAGCCACATAATATTTTAGTGGAACCAGACATACTTTGTGCCTATGAAATTATAGAGATGAATTTATATTATTTTTTGAGATTGTGTTCTTGCCCCAGAGAAAGCAATTAAAGTGTCAGCAGTAGGTTATAATGGGAAAACAAATAGCTTCATAAACATTAGCTTTTGTGGAAGGGAAGACCTTTAAGTGAGCTGCCTTCTGTGCCTGTGAGATTCTGTAGGGGCAGCTATGGAGAAGGTGTGATAATCTGACCAGGCCCCGTCATCTCTCACCTGGACACCTGCAGGGTCTCCTACCTTGTCTCTCTCTAGCCAGAGCCATCTTTTCAAAGTGGAAACAGATCATCACATTGTCCCCTTACTAAAACTCTGTGACTGCTCCCTACGTAGCCCCAGAGCCTCACAAACTGCCCTGCCTGCCTTTCCCTCCATCTCCCACCTCTCTCACCCGGACATACACGACTGTAGCCACCCTGGTATTCCTGTCCCTCCATCACTCCAAACTCTCTTTTCTCTTTGGGTCTTTGCTCCTGCTGGTCCTTCTGGTGGCATACCCCGCTCCCCAATTTTTCACATGGCCATTTTCTTTCTACCATTTCTGTTTCAGAAAGTGTCACTGTCTTTGTAGCATTCCCAGCTCAACACATGCCACCTCCTCAGGAGGGTGTTCCATACACCACCCACCACTCCTCAGTCACTCTTCTCACATCACTGTTCTGCTTTCCTCACTGGCTTACTGTTTAATGTCTGTCCACTTCTAGGATATAAACTTGACAGCAGGGACCTGGCCCCCCCCCCCATCCAGCGAGGACCTTGGCACCCAGAATAGTGCTCAGTGCATAGTAGATGCTCAGAAAATGTTGCGTGAATGGATGAGCACTCAGCTGGCTCTGTGTTAATGATAATGCACCTACTTCCTATGAAGCTGTTAAAAAATGAAAGAGGAAGAATATTGTCATTAACATCTCTGTTAGGAGAACACTGTTCCCCAGATAAAAGATCATGTTGTTGAAATTGGGGCTTGAAGATATTTATGTTAAGGTGTAAAACTTGAGGCTATTTTACAATGTGCAAATTAGGAAAAGTGTTTCATTGCTTTTTTCCTACAGTTTATGAATAGACAGACTATTCTACAGTGAATTGAAGTGATTAAACTTCAGTAACTAAATTTGAATTTCTCAGATTTCATTGTTGCTTCTGAATTGTTGTCGTCATTCTCCCTTCCCTGCCCCCCGTGTGTCCCAGAACACACACACACACACACACACACACACGCAGTCACCTTCAGAAGAGGTTCACACATAGATTATTTTGTAATTTTAATAGATGTAGATGTATTCTTTCAGAGATGATTAAGATAATTGATTTCTAATAAACATTACCATTTTCAAAATTTAACCTTTGTAAAAAGAGGCTGCTTGGAGAAATAGTTTAATAATAACAATATTAAAGACTAAGGATCAAAGGGATGTCGAAGAGAATAGAAAAAAAGGATCTGCTTCAAAACTGTTTCTTTTCTGGGCTTCTAGTAAGTTCTGTCTTTTTTTAAAAAAATTATTTTTTTAGAATAGTTTGTTGATTTTTAGAAAGAGAGGAAGGGATGGGGGGAGAGAGAAAAATCGATGTGAGAGTGATATATTGATTGACTGCCTCCTGCACAACCCCTATGAGGGACTGAGCCCACAACCTAGGCATGTGCCCTGACCAAGAATCGAACTGGCAACCTTTTGGTGCACCGGATGCACCACCAGCTGAACCATATCAGCCAGGGCAGTAAGTTCTTTGTTAAGAATGCAGAAGTTGAGTAGCTTCTCTAGGTGTGTTTCAGGAACTGGGGGGGATTCCCAGAGATTCTGAGAGATCTTATTGGTGAAATGTGCTAAGTGAGGAATTTTATTGGAGAAATTACGTTAGCTCTCTCTTTCTGCGCCACACTTCCCCACACGCTGGTAAATTCACCCACCTAACAAACACAGCATGAAGGAATCATACGCAGTAAAACATCCCCAAATATTTCTTGGGGGAACACAGTTAAACATGAGCTATTTAAAAATGATGACAACCTCAAATTATTTTTAGCAGTTTCTACAGGAATAATGAGTGGTTTATTTTGTACTATGTTGTATATTTAATGGATACTCATACAGTACTGTGCAGAGTTTATAATTCATATGAATAATGTTTTTCAGGAGTATTGTTTGAAATCATTTCAATTGTTCTGGGGTAGTTTCCTAAACTTTTAAAAGTTATATTTTACCTACTATGCATGGCCCACAAATACATACAGAAATCTTAATTTTACATTTTATCTGAGAACTTAAATGTTAAAAAAACTAACAAATTCATGACTCGTGACTATACTTGCTCTTTATAATTGGCTGTGCTTGTTTGTTTTTAATCTTAGAGATGTGGGGAGTCAGAGGTCTTAGATGAGAAGGAGTCCATTTCTTCAGCATCTCTTGCTGGATCTAGTTTGCCTGTTTTCCAGAATGTCCTGCTAAGGTTTTTAGATACACAGGCCCCCTCATTGTGTAAGTAAATCTCTTTGCTTATTTTAAATAAGAGAATGATCTTTTTTTTTTTTTTTTTTTTTT